AGAGAAAAAAAGAAAGGAAAAGGAAGAAAAAATAAAGAAATAAAAAAGGTGGAAAAAATCATGCAAATGTTTTGCTATCATATCACACACCACAAACATTCATTATCAATAATGGAACAGTTGCCTTTTAACAAATTTCTAATTAGTAAAACTCTAAGCTTCACTTATTATTCACCAAATTCCATTGATGAACTTATCAAAATGCAACTTTATTCAACTTTAGAACATTATCATCATTATTCTCATACTACCATATTCATGATGAGTAAGTACTTGGAAGTGCAATTGTTCAAGTTGCACTTCTTTTTTCTTAAGTAAATGGAATAAGTTGTATACAATTACAACCAATCAAATCAAATTTAATAATGAAATTTTCAAAAATAAAATTTCAAATTATTAGTTTAAAATTTTAATCCAATTTTTACGAGACGAATTATTAATATTAAAATTGAAACATGATAAATTAATCATCTGTCAGTTGTTTTTTTTTTTTTTTTTTTTTTTTTTTTTTTGTAATATTTCACAGTTCCAGTCTAATCACCGATTGGATTAAAATGAATAATTAGACGATTGGTATTAAGCTTCTTTCGTGATACTTACGCTCAATCTTATCCGGCATTCGATAACATCAGGCGAAACATCCGGATGATTCTCATATTTCAGTTCTAATATAAAAATAGCCTAAATGAATCATCATTACTACAAATGAAAACTAAACAATCAATTTTAACAATAATATATACGAAATAAAATTCAAATTGCAAAATTTTCATATCAGTGTTAATTTAAATTTTAAAAATTTGAAATAATTGATTGAATTAATATCAAAACAAAAAATCAGGGAAAAAAAATTTGTTGAATATTAATAAATTAAGAAATGATATATTCTGATGTAATGAAGTAATTCAATTAAAATCAATGAAACGAAATTGCATATTTGAAATGAAACAATCAAATTTTACTCATTTCAAGAAATGAATATTTTCAGCCTATGAGATTGTAGACTAAATCCTTTAAATTTTACTTTATCTTGTTAAAACCATTGACAGTTTGATTGCATAAAATTTGAATTGATTAAATTAAAGAATGTAACGATTTCCTTTTTTTACATTCATTTCTATTTTGTTTTTTTTATGCGTAATTAGAATTGAAGGAATGAAATTATTCGCAAATAAAATTAATTTTACTTAAATGAAGATTTTATCACTTTTTATTTCGTTTTCATTCTTTTTCAAAAAAATGAAATATTAAATTCTCAGGTAAATCATTGCTATGCTTTTAATATGAGTTGAAATGATGTTAAATATTTAAGTGAATTATGAATTTTCTCCGCCAGGCGCAATTTCTCGATCGTCTAGCATTTGACAGTTGGTTTTTCGGCTGTGGCAAAACTTTATGTTAGCATCCGTTATCCATGCACAAAAATAGCTTTAGATGCTTCAGATACGATTAAAATTAAATTTATTTTTGAAATAATCATCAATTGAATAAACAAAGAAATAAAATTTTCAATCATTTTTATAATCTTATTTTATAAATTAAAAAAAATCAGTGAATAATAATTTATAAGTCAAATTTTGTTTTAAATTTGATTTCGTTCTTTTTTTTTTTTTTTTGGTTCTTCTATCGATCTTAATATTATAGTTTCAGTGATAATTGGATGATTCAATGGTGAATGTAAAATTACTTTATCAATTCACAGGCCAGATTAGGCTCTTTGTGTAGTTAGTCATCTTTTGTTGCTTGGCCAATTCACAATCCATTCAACGTTTGTCATTTGTCGTGAAAATAACCAATTGGAAGGATGGAAATATTTGCATAATTTTTTCTGATAACATTAATGTAACTATAAATTTTGTTTTTCTGTCTTATCAATATAATTAAAATTTCAAATTTTTAATAAAAAATTTTATTTTCTTTCCAAAAAAAGAAAAAGGAAGGAAAAAGAAAGAAAACAAAAACAAAACAAAAACTTATTGTGTAAGTTTATCCCATTGCAATGATTGATTACACATTGTGTCGTTGAGTTTGTTGAAAAAAAAAGATAGTTTAAGAGTGAAAGGAATGATTTGAAGCAGGAAAGTAAATATAACAGAACTGATCTTGACAATACCTCAAAAAGATTTATCCAATATGTGTCGATTAAAACATATTGCTAACAGATGTGTGGTAAAGTTTGAACTACGACAGACTTTTAAGTAAGTGATAACAATGATAATCACAGTAGTCATTAAATTATTATCAAAGATCGGAAAGAATATTTATTCAATCATCTACAGTATCTAGTTGGAAATTAGTACTTATCAATACAGATAGATACAAGCAATTTTAGAAGAAATTGAAGTTATAAACAAAAATAAAATTAAAATAATTTAATTTGGATGGTAAAATTTGGCTCTTTGAATTCTCCAAAAAATTCTTAAGCTCTTTTTTTCTATTACATTTACTTTTTGTTTCAATTTTAAATCTTCTTTGTTTAATGCTTGATATATTTTAAAATAAATGAAATTTGATGAAACGATTATCAGATAAGTATTATTTGATGATAATGATAATAGCAAAGTGATCATTTGCCAAATGATACATATTGTAGTGAGATTGTTAAGAGTTATAAATGAAGTGCAAAAAATTTTAACTTATGGTGTGAGATGAGACACTATAACAAAAGTGCTTCATTTACTAAAGCTTTTACCTTTTGTTTACTTATGCTTCCTACAGACATAAGCGCTTTTTCTTCTTTCTATACTTTTTTTTTTTAAAGTAAGTATGAAGAAGAAATGATACGAATTAGTGAAACAACGATTGGAAATTGGAGAATAGCGCCTAGCGGTATATGAATGTGACATTTGAAATATTCATCCTATTGATTGTTATTTTATAAAGAAAAAGAATGAAGAAGTTTGTAGTCATTGATTGAAAAATTATTTCCATCTTTTTTTTTTTCTTTCTTATAAATATCAAAAATTTTAATTGTTTATTTATTAGATAAAAATTTAAATTAAGTAAAAATTTAAATTATTTCAATATCCTTTCTTAGGTACATGCTAGAAATAAGTTTAACTTAAAATATTTATTAAGACAAATAAACAAACAAGAAGTATTACTGTTATTACTACTATTTTTTTTTGACTAACTAAGTTTATTTTCAGTAATAAATTCTGATTTTACGAAATGAAATGGATATATATGATAATTAATTTCAAATAACAAATTACTTTTGAAAATTACAAATCAATTTGCATTTATTGTCAATATTAGTACTATTCTAATTTCATAACTTATCGTGTTTCCCTATTTTAAATCAAAATTTGACAAATATTCATATTTTAATTAAGCTAATTTTGCTCCAAAATTTCCACCTCAACAGTGTGATTCATTAATTAACCCTTTTTACAATGATAAGTTGTGCAAATTCACACATTTCCGGAATGTAAAAGTCTGAGAAGATTTGGTTAAGTTAGTTAACTAATTGTACTTTGAAATTCAAAAACCAAAACTATTGGATAATTGATTAAGTCGGCAAAGTTTTTCTTTCACGATTTTCTATTTTTCCAAGAATTTTTACAGCTTTAGCAGCGAAACTTTTTTTTTCCCATCATTTTCTTGAAGATCTTTAATTTTCAAGCTAATATATAGTAAACTTTTTCTTGCTTGTTTTCCAATTATTTGTTTGAGGAGAAAAACAAAATCCCCCAAAAATATATCTTATTTAAAAGCAAAAGCTGAAAAAGTTGGCTAGAAATTTCAAAAAAAGAAAAATTTGCAAAATTTTTAAGCATTTTTGAATGAATTAATAACTTTGCATCTTGTTTACATGCATGCACTTGCATGCATATTGTTTGACCATTTGACTAGTAATTAATTAATTAGATTAAGGAGCAACTCTATAATGATAATGGTATTAACTTTTTTTTAATACTTTTCATATTCTAACAAATCATTGAAAGTTTTTTTTTTTGAAATTTCAATATATTTGATACTTGTTGAAATTTTTATTTATTGCTTTTGCTTTAAAACATTTTGGATTTCTTTTTTCTTTCATATTCAAAATTTAAAAAGATTTAAAAAAGAAAAAGGGAAAGTCGTAATAACAAAAAATATTGAATTTTCATTTTCAGACTAATTTAATTAGGGAAAAAAAGATAGACAACACGTAAAGAATTGAAGTTTACAATATTTCTGCATAAAAATTTAAATTTGAAGTACTAAATTTAAAATTGAAATATCATATATCATGTCTTAATTGCAAAAACTAGCTGTTCCACTTCATTTTGTCGAAAATTTTAGCACTTGTTCATTTCTCATTTCAAGCTAAGTAATTCACTCATTATCAACTTCACATACACATACAGAACAGACACAGACACACGCAGACACACCAACACACACACACACACACATACACATACACATATACATAAAATGAGAAGAAAACGGTGAACGTTAAGCTAAGCCAGACATTAGTAATAGGTAAGAAAGATATTTAAACCAACTGAACTATTCTATTCTTTTTTTCATTTGAAAATAATTTTGTTGAAAAAAAATTCAAAAAAAAAGAGACTTCTCTGTTGTAAATAATTCTTGTAAAAGTGAAAAACTTTGTTGCAATCTTTTTTTTTTTCATTTCCCATTCTGGTAGTAAACACTGGCCGGTTTCTTTTTTTAGAAGTTATCCGGCAAATAGTACAACTCAATTGTTTGTATATCCGGAAAAGTTTGCTTCGAAAAAGTAGCAAAAAGTTTGCTTTTGGGAATGTTTCTTACATAAAATGATAAATCTTAACTTTATGCATTTATACATTTATGTACAACAATTTAAGTTATCGAAAATTGCGCATAATTTGTAATGAATCTGTGTTCCATAGGTGATAATGTTAAATTGTATTGATAACTGATAGATGAAGGAAGCATGTCGTGATTTGTGAATGAATAGGATAGATAGATCACACATATATACCTTTAGCAGCTTTACCATTTTAATCAAACTTTTGATCTTGCCGGAAATGAATAGAAATACCAGAAGTTTAATTGGTTATGTATACCATAACTTAAACAGTGCATTTTTACTAGCTGAAATCATTGGAAGTCGAAGAAATAGGATGTCTTTTATCTGTCTACCATTTTTAAGTACTACTGTTAAGAATTCTTTTCTTTTTTAAATTTCTGTAACTTAGTATTTCAAATATATTGCTTCCATATGAAAATTTATAATAGCAAGTTATCATATACAAGAAATGTTGAAAAAAAATCGGCAAAGAATTTAGGATGAATAAATGGATGAGTTGTAGGCGAGCTCTTTTGCCCTTAATTTAGGATGATTTCACTTCTAGACTTCACATCATTCATTTCTGTACGAAAAATTCCAATCAGTTTCTGTGCACTTCAAATGAATGTTCCAAATGGTATTTCTTGGTAATAGATTACTGACGGGTAGATGGAATAAAAAATAAATGCAGGAAGAAGAAAGCAATTACTAGTCGGTCGTATTTCACGGAAATCTTTTACTGCCGGAGGATGCTGCTGCTGTTGATATTTGCTGAAATGATAAATGGTACATATTTCGTTCATTTCTATTACACACCACACATCTCACTATTGATTAATAAGCATAAAAAATGCTTCCGTATATTATCTCCGGAAACTGGCCACCAAAAACTCAAAAAACTGTTGATTCCCGAACTGAAAAATGTTGTAACAACTGGGAATATTTTATATCGCAGAAATACCACAACAGATCATAAAGGCTTCAATGTTATCCTTATCACTCCAATTACACTGATATATGCAATGTATCAAAACATTGCTGATGTTTATACCTGAAATATAATTTCAACTACCATAAAGAAAAACTTTTCATTTCTGTAATTCTCTCTTTTTAATATAAAATTGAAACTCTGAAAGCCATCCATAACTGAAGTTGAAATTACAAAGAAAATCCCGGGATTGTATCAAAACATTGACATTTGTGCATGAAGCAAAAACACATACAAACTCCTATAAAGAAGGAAAGGGAAGATTTGTTCTAATAATACAAGGAATGTTGATAGACATTTTGATATCTTCAGACTACTTGCAATTTCTAAAATGATTCATAATGTGTTTAGAATCAATTATACATTGAATCATCTGGGATAATGTACAAACACTTGTGATAATGCATAAATACATTTAACAATTACATAGTACATATCACTGAAAATCTTCAATTGATAATACTGAAACTCCAGTCATTCAGGTTAAAACATACGGTATAAAACAATCCTATAAATTTGTTAGTAATTACACCAGTGTTTATGACAGGGAAAAAAATTAAAATTAATGGTGCGTTGAAAACGATAAATAATTGATTCCTGAACTGAAAATAATGAAAACTGATCCCTAAAATCACCATCCCCAGTTTTAGCGTTTGTTTAATTTGATTAAATATTACTAATCCAGCAAAAATGAAACAGTATGAGATTTCCGACTTATGCTACTTGACTTTTTACTTTTTTTCTTGAGTTTTCATATAAGTAAGCGTCTTCGCCCCTCTTTGATTTTGATACCCCTTTTTTTGCTATTCTTTTGTATGAAATGAAGTAATCCACAATTTTTTCGCAACTCAAAAACCAATTTTTTTAAAAAATTACAGAACAGATATCCTGCTTCACAAGGATGAGAAGTTTTGAGTTGATCAAGCAAAACACTACATATATCAATATAAAAACGATAATCGATTGTCCTTAAATGGAACTTAACCAGCTTATAAAAGGGTAATCACATTATCCGACCAGCAGAGACCTACGACTTACGTTCGTTTTGATCTAGGACACAGACGTTTAAAAAAAGAAGTCAGTGAACCAATTTCATTGGTGAACTAATTATCTTAAATAAAAAATGCCGGAACAAGAGATATTTTGCTTATCTGCACACAAATATAAGTCACTTTAACTTAAAGACACGTAGAGATACAAAAATCGTCTAAAGATAAAATACCACAGAAATGAGATCAGTGAAAGAATATATCCGGAGGTAATCACTCCTTTCGAAACCTGGATGGTAAATAATGTTCTTCTTCCTTCCAATTCGTTTCTTTTTCTCCTTTTTCTTGCTTCTCTTTTTCGCGCACTGCTTTCCACATTTCTATATCACGCCAGTCAGCTTTTTCGAAGTCGGGTCTAGGATTATGTGACGGAGGAGGCGGGATTTCCTTCCGTGGTTTTCCAAAATTAAAGTGTTCATTACCACCATAGATTTCCTCTTCCTGAAAGTAAACAACATGTTATACATGAAAGAAATCATAACACGAACTCAAAAATTTCTTTATATAATGAAAGAATAAGCAAAGTAATGAAATCCATTAAAGGAACGACAAGAAAATACAAATAAGTAAGGCTAATGGAGATTTAAGAAAAAATAATAGTAAGATAATCATAAAAAATTTTCGAAAAACGCTGGAAAACTGTGTCTAGAAGCACCACCTTGACGGGTCCTAAATCAATTAATTTTTTCTGTTTCTTCCAAGACACATCATCGTCAATCTTTTTCGCCAGCTCCAACTGTTCTTCCTCAAATTTACGCTTGCGTCGTTTCTCCTCTTTTTTGGCTTTCTTTATTTCCTTCTTTAATCGTCTCTGCTCTTTTCTTAGTTTCTTTTCCAAAGCTTCATCCACTTTTATAACACCATCCTGCAAAACATACAAGTAGTTGAAGACCAAAAATAATAAGCCCAAAATTAACACAGAAAATTCTAAAATGATAAAATAGACGGAAGAATACCGGAAGACAAAAAAGATCAGCATAATCCCAACGATGAAAATTATGCAAAATTTCTTCAGAATTTATTATTGCTGTGTGCACGCAAAATCACATTTTTAATAAAGAGGACAGATAATTAGCAAAGAACTAACATTTTTAATGTTATTTTCTGATAATTATCTTTTTACTTTACCACGTAGCAAAAACCCGTAAATAAGCGTATTTATATGAAATAGGAATAGCATCATAGATTATGCATTCTTCAGTAAACATTCATCGCGAACAATAGTTTGATAAGAAAAAGAAGAAACCAACCTTATCAACTGCTCCCTTCCTCTTAAGCGTTTCAACTGGATCTATATCGTCCATTTCATCTACTTAACAGATGAGTTAATTAGGAACAGAAGAAAAATGTTTAAGAACAACTGTATTTCAATCTTCATTATCAAATAAAGCGGTAAGTTTCAGATTCAGTCTGTTGAATCTCACTCGAAAAAGAAAAAGAAGAAAGAAGCTAGTGCTTTCAGTTGTAAATACACAAACCTTGATGTATGGCAATTGGTTTCGGAGCGCAACCATCTTCCCAAATTTTTCGCGTTTCTTCATCGATATCCTCATGATATTTTGGAACTTTATATTCCTCCACATGATCTACACGTATAATACGTTTCAATAGCTGTAAATGAATGTTGAGATCTTGTACTACTTTAGATTGATAACAGCAGAATAACGGTGATTTTTCAACTAAAAAACTATATTTTAGTCATTAGAATCGCAAACTTTTATAGCAAACCTTAATCCCATTGAAATTATCAACAGCTAAAATAGTTGATCGTTGATCTTCATAACAGACGAACGCGAAGCCTCGTGATTTTCCGGTTTTACGATCCCGAATTAAATTGATGTTCACGATTTCACCATATCTGAAAAAGGTGTCCATATCCTAACCAATAGCGCATCGACTTTGTAATTAGTCTGCACTGTGATGGGAAAAAAAAAACATATAATAGCTCATGCCATAAGATAGTAATATAAATGAAGAAAAAGTGACTTCTGAAATATGGGCTTCAAGCTGATGACAGAAAATAGAGAAAAGTGACTAAAAAGTAATAAATAATGCATTCTCGCAAAATAAGTCTAGATCATAAATTTTCTTACTGCTCACTCTTTTTTTTTCTTTTTAAATGACACATTTATAAGAATATTGCTTTTTAGTCCAAAGCAACACATTAAAAACCAAAGATTTATTGCGAAAGGATTAGCATTCATTTTATCATCAAAAGTGAAAAATAAATGCGTGACTTTACTTTCAAAATGTTATACCCATTTTAATCAATACATTTGAATCATTTTCAAAACAGACACTCTGGTCGCTCGCAAAAATGTTAACAACCTCATTACGCATGTGTCTGCTACCACTTTTATATATAATAATTCTTCCAAAGATAAAAATTTGGACAAAAGGAATGCATTATTCCATGCGAGTAACGAGTTTATCTGCTTCTAGCTGGATAAGTCACAGAACATGCAAGTAAGTTTAAAATTATACTGACATCTGCATATCGGTACTACAAAAAGCAGAAAGATAACAACTATATTATCGTGAGTATGGAATGACAGCTGTAGTAATGACAAATTGCAGTAATGACAAACCATTCGACTCATGAAACTGTAATAAATTTGACAATGAATTTTTTTGCACAATGGGTCCAAGAAAAAGGTTTGTTAAATAAACTTACTGTGAAAAAACAGCAATAACATCGCCTTCGTTGAGATCAAACGGTAAGCCACCAACATAGATCCAAGCTGAATTGCTGTATTTCTGGTGCCAGCTTTTGCTGCTACTTCCGGTAAAACCAAGTAACAATTCCCGTTCATTAATCTTATTCTGCTTCCGGATATTCGTCAATGGGTTCATTTTTTCTTAAATACAATGATAACTTACATGTAGTTTAATTTTAGAACTTTAACCGGCTAATACGATCTAAAGATCAATTAAATTTTGATCAGTTACTTGATCTATAAATCAGTTTAGTTCCGATCAGTTAGTCCGATCTGCAAATCAGTTAATCGGATCTATGAATCAATTTAGTTTCGATTCGTTAATCCGAATCGCAAATCAGTTAAATTTCGACCAGTTAATGCGACCTATCCGTAAACTCCTGAAGATCAGTGAGCAGTGACTTATATTCATTAACCGATATAATCACCACATGCAGTTACGTCATAATTTCCAACTCTTTCAATCCGTTATTCTCTCATTTTCTGTGCTATTTCTACTTTAATCCATCACGGTATTTTTTCAATTCCTCCCAACTTATTATTTCCACATTTTCCTCACACTACCGCTATACTCTCATAAATCCCTGCCGTCTCTTCCTAAGTAAACTCAGTAAACTCCAATAACTCCCGCAATTAGTAATGAAAGAAATCAAACCGTTAAAAAAAGAAACAAACAAACCTAGAAAAAAAAGCACCCATACGGTACCCCGACAGTACAGGGACGCGGAATGCAATTCGACGTCTCAACGAAGCTATCATGCGCTTGCGGTATTAACGGGAGTATTGAATGCTCAGATGATTACGAGATTTAGATCATCTAATTTGCATCGTATTTGATTCCCAAGTTAATATTGGTTAGAAGATTACCAATCGGTTGGAAGGTTCTCCTTGTTTTCTTGGTGAGACTCACATTTCATTGGAAGGGAAATTCAAAATCAGTTAAGATCATCATGCCATCGTCCTTGTCTCATTCTCCGCTGTTTGCTGCACAAATATTGCACTATTAAATGATTATCTATGATTAAAATGAGGAAAATCTTTATACTTGCAGTGACGAAGAAAAAGGAGGAAAATGAATGATCCGTGGAGAGAAACCGAGCTGAACACGCGTCATACTTGGATGACTCAGTGACAAATCAAAATTAGGTGTGAGACAACGTGGAAAAGTCTCCAGTGATATACAATAAAAGAGGATTTCTAATTCATTTTCAAATGTATCACTTGCGAAAAATTATCATTCTCGTATCACTCTCGCAGATTCAGCTCAGAGAATCTGTATAAAATTGGAAGCAGAGATTATTTCGAAAGTGGAGATATCAAGCCAAGCAACCCTCTCAACTGGCTATTAAAGGTGATCTCTTATCGAAATGAATTTTGTTTGAAAAAGCCTGGAAGGTTTGAATAGATTCATAGATTTACAAGAAGGACAGGAAGAATTCTAAGAAGGATTAGATGGGTCCGCAAAATAATGGCTAGCATATTTAATAAACGTAAAACGAATCAAACATAGAATGGTATTAAGTATTAACACCGAGGAACGACTAGTTTTGAAAAATTCTTCCCCCTAGTTATTTGATAATTGATAATTAATTTTTCGTTACCATCCTGACCACTTCTCTGTTCAAATATTACTTACCAAATTTCCATTCATTTTCGGTTGTGTTTAAATTACTTCCACTCTGAGAACATTATTAGGCTCAGTTTATCCGTTCATGTATCGTTTTAAAAAGTTCACACCTTAGATGGTAGTGATGAACTGAATAGCGAATAATCACGTAGAGTAGGAAAGTTCACATCCTGGATGATAGTGGTTGACTTTGTCACATCCGGATTTGCCTCAAATGTTTCATCAGTACGAAACACGGAAAGCACAGAGAATTCCCTTGCTCTTAGCTCCTGATGTGACAGCGACAACAGCAATGGGATATTAATTTTCTATAAGAGGCATTTTCTGTTACTTGGTGGCACGATTGGTAAGAAATAACTTATGAAGTTTTGCGAGTCGAAGGTTATTAACCTTATATCTTTGTGGTACTGTGTGGAAGCAGCTTTACATTGTCGGAAAAAATCAAATTCTAAAAGCGATTTCAATTTTTCACTTATCTCTGAAGCAGTATTGATTCTTATCATTACTTTCCCCACATCATCTTGCTCTCCACAGTTTCCGCTATGTTTCTTTTCATCTTTACTTGGCCACTTTTTTAGGCTTGACCTTTCTCCTCATCACGATCCTTTTTAAGCTGTCGGGTAATATGGAATGACTTTGGAATTGGTGTAAGAATTCTCTCGTCGCACAATTTCATTTCCGATTCCGTTTTTCATTTTCAGTTCCTCCCGTCATTCTCTTTTTATGAAACAAAATTAAGTCGGTAAGATAAGCTTGCTGCTTTTTGATGGTTTGATAATCGGAAAGCTTGTCATTTCAGAAAACCAATCAGCCTCTCTCGTTTGCTGTAATCATGATGTGTTAAGGATGATACGGCGGAGACGTTTGAAAAGTGTTGATGATAAGCTTTTACGAGCGACCTTCGAGCCGTTGAAATATGTAAATAATGAAGAGAAAGATTATCACCTAAATGATGAGTTACTGAATTCAGCGAAAATTTCTTCACAATTATCCGATGTTGATGATGCTGGCGATGAAAGTGACACATCGAAAATGTTAGTTATTGCTGGGAGATCCGTATTTAGCTATCAGTAATACTAACAGGTTGTTGTCACTAACATATTTGACTCAGTTGTCTGATTCATTTTATTCCTTTCATCTCTTTATCTTCTGTAGTTATTAGTGACCCATTCAAGGTAGTAATTTTCATGTCATTTTCAGCTGATACCAAACTTTACTCTATTTTTATCCAGAATAATGGTTGCTAGGGACAGTAATGAAAGGTAGTGTGAAGTAGCTAAGGATGAGCCTAGGAAATTCGATCTTTACTTTATTTCATTATTTTATCGCTTTTTAAACTTATCTGAAACTTCTCCTTATCTCTCTTCCTTCGTATATTGCAACGTTATCGTTCTTATCCACTGTTAAGCTCATTCTTAGATTAGAATTTCATTAGATCATAAATCACTTTATTTAGTAAATTCAATCAAATCAGCTAGCAGTGGACATATTCGTCACATTTTGTATCAACTGTGTCGGTTAATATTCTGCCAATCTTATTGATATGCTTTTCGATGAATTAATGTTACTATTACTTAGATTAATTCATCTCTATTATTTAGTTAACCCAAAATACAACTTTTCATCTTTGAATATATAATCAATTATTTTTAGTGCTGAAAAGCATCCGAATTATACGAGAGGTGAGTTGGACTGTATACATTATCGGCTTATCAATGAACGTGTTGTAAACGACGTTACTTTGGAATTTTTTTATAAGCCGCGTACAATTACAGTACTTGTTATCATTTGTGCATTGCTTGTTATTCCTGCATTTAGTAGGTAATGTACTATTTCAGTTTAATTTGCAGTGTCTCAAGTTATTTCTTATTCAATAAATCTGTGTTTGAAAAGTACCTTATAATATTCACTTATCTATTTTGGTTTACTCAGTGATCATAACGACTCGATGATTCGTTACACTCTTCTCGTGGTGGATTTAGTGATCAGTATAGAGAATCTGGCCAATATTATTACGATTAGAACTACAATGACGGACAGTAAATATTGCAGGAATGATGACAATTCAGGAATTAATGTTTATGCCGGTATTACCGCTGCAGTTGTTTTATTTCTTGTTGTCAGTGGTCTCACATTTCCAAATGGTAAACTTGATTTTTGTTGGTTCATTTTTTTTTATTTTTGTTTTTGTTGGTTCATTTTTCTTTTTTTTTTTGGTTTATGATATCAGCAACTCTTTTTTTGAGGAAATTTAGGTCCATTTATCCGTCCACACCCAGTTTTCTGGCGCGTTATCTTTGGTATGAGTGTCTTGTATATACTGATGCTTCAATTCGCATTGTTTCAAAACTTTCGTGATATAAAAAATGTGTTGAAATGGCTTGATCCAAAAGGTTTAAACAAAGAAAAATTGGATGAAAAAGTAAGTTTTCCCCGTATTCCGGATCATATTGGGATTTTCTCATGACTTAAAATTGATCAAAATGTTGTTTTAATTAGGTTATGCTGCTATTGCTTTAACACTTATATTTGTGTAAGTATTGCAATATATGACAGATATTAGAAAGATGAAAAATAAAAATCATCAAACGATCCTTATCACTGAAGAAGTCGCTTATACCTGGTAGTTTCTATTAAGGCTTATGCGGTTAATTGTTCCGATATCACATTAGAACGACTATGGGGCTACATGGATATATTTGCTATTGGTCATTTTGTTGGATGGGCCATGAAAGCTTTGCTTATTCGCCATTCTATCATATGTTGGTATATCAGTATCGCTTGGGAATTAACTGAGGTACTTTATATTTTTTGCTAAAAAGAATAATTGGTTCGTCGTAATTTAACTTCAAGTAAGTTATTTGTTGCTTTTTCATTTGATTTCATGTGGTTTGCTTAGGTTTTTTCATACTTTTAACTGAGAACATTGGTCGGAGTTTTAATTTAGGTGTTATTCGCTCATTTATTGCCAAACTTTCAAGAATGTTGGTGGGATGCGGTCATTTTGGATATTTTATTGTGTAACGGACTGGGTATATGGTTTGGGATATGGTTGTCGCATTTTTTTGAAATGCGACAGTTTCATTGGGAAAGCATTAAGTAACCTTTTACACATTACTTCAGTAGCTTGAAATGTAATATCTTTACGCCAAATTAAGAAATATATTTGTGTTAACAATTCCCTATAATAATGTTTAATGTGTGGTCTTCACCTAGACAATCAGTTACATTTTTTTGATTTGATTTCCAGAGATATTAAAACAGCACGGGGTAAATTCAAACGAGCCGTACTTCAATTTACTCCCGAAAGTTGGATGAAAGTGGATTGGTACAATAACTGCGCTTTGAGAAGAACGCTGGCAATTTATGGATTTGTTTTAGTGTGGCTGGTATCCTTTACTTTTTTGACCTAGGTTGTGAACACCGAGATCTGTTGTTTGAAGATTTTCTCTGCCAAACTGTTATGCTACCTTTCTGATATGATCTTTTTTTGAGTGAAACTTGGTTTTCAGATAACGGAATTGAATACTTTTTTCCTGAAGCACATATTCGCCGTAGACACATCACATCCATTAGTGTTTTCAAGGATCCTTTTAATTGCTTTCGTGTCAGCCCCAACAATACGGCAGTTTTATTTATTCGCTACCGATCCACGAATTAAGCGTATGGGCATGCAAAGTTGGGTGTATGTGGCTATATGTACTTTAGAAGCAGCGATTTGCATCAAGTTTGGACGACCACAACTTCCTCGTGTTAAACTAACGCTGATTGTTTCATGGATCTGTTTCATGGTTTGTTTTAATCAGATTACTTCAGAATGTTGGTAGAATGCTAAAACTATTGTAACAATTCCAGTAGATTACTTAAAATATTATTTTTCCAATATTCTTCGATAGGGGGATAATAGAACGAACTTTTAGGCTATTGGTACATTCGCTTGCGTTTGGATGTCGGTGTGGTGGGTAAAAACGTTCACGGTTAGTATACAATATAACGATCAGAAAATATCATATATTAGCTTGTTAAATCTAATCTTATTTTGGTCCTACCAAATTTTTCCATTAATTTGAAATCGAAATTTCCCATCACATTTATGTGGCAGTAACACACTTTGAATATCCTGCAACACGAGTTACTATTTCACAGCAGTTTTATACTAATTAACAGTTTTATGTTAGTAAAATTTTTATATTGGACAAATTGACTTGAAATGAACTTGCTACAATAATAATCAATTTTTCTAATTTTCTTTTATTATTAAACAACACATTTTTCATTGATACATTTATCCTTTACTACAGAAAACAGAAAAAGTGAATATAAATGGTTGCTTGCGGGATTGTTATCTAGATTCTAGCCATGAAAATCTTGGCGCACTTACTGACGAGGTAAAGGCACGCCGGAAACGATTGAATATATCGGAATCAGATTTTGCCTGATCGAATGAATTGGAGATCGAATGAATTGAAGTTACTGGAAATTGTTTCTATATGAACGTATATCTTTTACCTGTTTCAACTTATTAACTTAAAATTTAGTATCACTTCCACCCTGATCATGTTCAAATTTATTCTAATAACGGTGAAATTTTAATCCTATAGCTGTTTTCATCTGTTTTGTTAGATCTGTCCTATAGGTTAGAGATATATGTAATCCGGAAACTTGATTGTAACGTGTAACATTTTTGTGGTTCATCTTTAGATGTAAAAGTTTGTTATTCGTTAATGAAATATGAAGCATTTACAGCGTGTAACTTACTGATGCCGAACATGCACTATTTCATTATATGAAATATATGTGTTTTCATCATCTTTCAACGTCAGTAAGGACCCTAAGTAAAGTCAATGTGAATTGGACTGATAGGATAATGATACTGTCACGATAATGACACTTTTTGATTGTTTCTACCATCTGTTTTACTAATTTCGCAAATGATAAGCTCCACATGCTCGCCGTATGCGTTTCTTGTTAGATATCTAATTCTGCTTCATTCATTCATGTTTTTCGTCTTTCCGCATTCAATTTTTTGTGTAGAACACGTTTTCCTATAGAAATGCCGCTTACCGTCATTTATAGTGCAGTCTGCCTTCAGTTAAAATAATATATTATATTCTACTACTTTATTCGCTTATGTGTCACGTCAGTACTATATTTTTAATATTTTCCCGAGTTTATTATATCAAAATATTAAGGTGGATTTAAGTGATTGATTTGTGAGTGTTCTTTCGTTTTTGTGGTGAAATGAAAGTAGGGAAACATTCTAAGATCGGATCATAACGAATAATTCAGGTTATGCAAACTCCATTAAATTTGTTATAATCCAACTTGGCAGTTTAGCATTATGTTAACAACATAATATTTGGGAAATATCGACGGTGGTTACTCCGGTACAATAGTAAGATTCATCAAAATGTTTTGGGAACATGAATGAAAAAGGAATGCTCGAAGCAAATAACTTTAAGTAATAAAATAATAGTGAGTAGCAGTGCCGTCCGGACAATTTTATTCTTGAAACCGCATAGACAATAGACTATGTGAGTAAAACTTCAAAGATTTTAGTGCTTATCTTGCAGTCTTTGCTATTATGGTATCATTGTACGAACTTCTTTTGCTAATTTCAAATAGCACGTATAATTTCTACTTGCATTTTTCATGGATTTTACAGTGTTATTGGGATAATTAATTTTGGTAAGCCTAAATAAGTGTTTTATCTCTTCTGATACATTTCAGATGGAAAAAATATGTTCAAGGATGTAAATAAGTTGAGAAGTTTTAAAATGTTGAAGGCTTCAGCGTGTACCGTTCAGTTTATCAGTTCTACAAGAAATTTCCACAGTAGACAAACTTGTGATGAAGTTCGTGTACGTTTTGCTCCTTCTCCAACCGGTAATTTGCATTTGGGTGGCCTTAGAACGGCACTTTACAACTTTTTGTTTGCTCGATCGCAAGGAGGCAAATTCATTCTGCGAATCGAAGATACTGATCAACAACGTTTGGTACCTGGTGCTGTGCAACAGGTCTGTATGTTAATATGTTGTTTTTGAAATTTACCATGATAGTTGGGAAGGAAAGATTGTAAGTTGGATTTATTTGCTTTGGAAAATCATTGAATTATTTCGGGGAGATTATGCTTCACTTTTTAGATTTTCTATAATTTTTTTCTTTTTTTGAATACTTTTTTGTGAACGCTTTTTTCATTCTTCGTTTAAATTAATTCCTTCATTTATTTATTTTTTTTTCATCCAAGTTATATATGATATAATTTTAACATAGTGTTAGTGTGGTGTATGGTTATTTTTTGTGTTTTTTGTAAGTGCAATCTTCCAGTAATCATAAAATCAAACATTTAAATAAATGAAATCTATGAATTTTTTTATTCAGATAGAAGCAACACTGGATCGGTACGAGCTTTTTCGGGATGAAGGACCTTCTAATAGTGGGAAATTCGGACCATATTTACAATCTGGAAGGAAGGCAATTTATCGAGATGCTGTCGAACAACTTATTGATAGTCGCAATGCATATCGATGCTTTTGTACAAAGACAGTAAGCATTTCACTCGATTAAATTGGTAATTTTGTTGGATAAGATAAAAACTGAAATTGATCTTCAATCCTGATATGCCCAGAAGCTTTGCATGGAACCTTAAATGCAAATAGTATTTCTGACTGTTTTAGTCTTTTTTTCCATCAACCTCTAATTAAAAGGATTCGATATTTTGGCATTTATATTTTCTCAAAAAATAAAACAATGTAAAAGGAAGTATGCGTTTTCCGACAATTTTTACCTTCTGCAAACGATTTTGATTTAGTTTTAAAATTCTAATTTTCTAATTTTCTAAAGAGAGTTCTAATTTTCTTTGTAAACTTTTCATCAGTTTTTTTTTTATTTCAGGATTATTAGACTCTTCTAAAGCTTCCAAATTTCATGTCCGCATTACCTTACCATGATATTTAAGCGTTTGGATATGTTGCGTCGAGAAGCGGCTAGACGTCATGAAGTGCCTAAATATGACAACCATTGTCGTGAACTGACTGATGAGGAAGTCAAGAAAAGGCTGGAGAATGGTGAAAGTTATGCTGTCAGATTCAAGTTTGAAAGAAAGGAAGTACATTTCAAGGTAACAACTGTTAATTTTTTTGAAGTAACATCTTGTACATCTTGTATTTTTTAAACATTTCTTCTATATCCTAAGAAACTTACTGTTTAGTTTTCTTTTTTCCCTAAATGATTTTAAGGATCAAATTTTCGGTGAAATAACGCAGAAAAGCAGTGAAGGAGATTTCATTCTGATGAAGACTGATTCATTTCCAACCTATCATTTGGCGAATGTTGTCGATGATCATCACATGCAGATCAGCCATGTGATACGTGGTTCTGAATGGCTTACGTCTGTTTCGAAGCATATACAACTTTATCAGTAAGTAGCTAGTCATAAAAAAAAGGTTTATTATTTAGCAAACCTAGTAAACTGATTGAATCCGCCTCATAATATGAGTGACTGTAAAGTAATGGAACTATTTATCGACTTAATATTTGGTTGCAGGAAATACCACATATTTCAATAGGTAAACATATGAATTTATAAATAGTTTTAAAACTGGTTTATGTTGGAATTTTTCAGGGAAATAAATTTGATTCACTTAATATGCTTTTGAATTTTCAATTACAGGGCTTTTGGATGGTTGTCTCCTATGTGGATTCATCTTCCATTGCTTGTAAGAAATAGCAGCAAGAAACTTTCAAAACGTGACAAGGTTCATTTACAACTTTGATTTTCATTCCTCCGGCATAAATTGGAAAATATACAAAAATTTTTTTTGAAAATAAAAGTCCTAGAATGTTTTAAGTGTAAGTATTCTTACCAAACGTACGTATAGGATGCTTTTGTGGAATTTTATGATATTGATAAAGGATATTTGCCAATTGCGGTGCTGAATTATCTGTGTCGAAATGGAAGTGGTATTCAAGATTTCGATTTATCGAAGCTCTACACGCTGGATGAGATGATAAGAAAATTCAACGTTTATTTAATTGGCAAACGAAATATAATGGTATGCTCGAAAATAAATAATTCGTATTTTAACGCCTGTTTTTTTTTCGAATATTATATAAATTCTACTGAATAGATAGTCAAGGTGCTTATTTTGAGTTTAACGACTTTACTTCTTAATTAGTTTGCTTTCTGAGTATAAGCCTTGCACTACAGTTACTTCTATTATTGTTAGATTTGGGTAGTCATTATGAGATGCTTCCTGAAAACTTGTAGTAATTCTAATTTCAACATCTTAAGTTGGATCAATTGGTTCTTGATGCATACGGTCACAAAGCGATACAGAATGCTGACGTTGATAAACAGTTGGTCCCAGAGATTATGAAGCGTCTTCAGAGGACATTTCCAGAAGCTGCCGCAGAATTGATTGCCGATTCTGATTATGTCAAGAAGGTCCTTGATTTGTTTAGACGAACGGATCAGAAGCTATGTTACTTGGAACAGTTAATCAGTAGTGACTTTAAGTATTACTTCTTACGACCAACTAGTCCGGAAAAAACACTTTCTGAGTTTGATGCGCACATAGTATCGTCCATTCTCAGTAGTTTTATGGATTGCGGAGATTGGAATATGGATTACATGAAAACGTTGGCTTCCATACATGGTATCAAATGTCCCCAAATATTTCGAATTATACGTTTAGCGTTAATCGATTGCCAAAGTGGACCACCGGTTATGGAACTATTTGAGTTCTTCGGAAAAAAGGAATGTATGAAGAGATTTTCGACCATGATTGAAATGTTAAAAGAATCGAAACTGTCATCAACACTCTAGTTGTTTGATGTTAACTTTATGTATTTTTATTCATCCGATTGTTACTATTATCAGTGTTAATTTTGTGCACTTTCTTTTTCTTTTTTAGATTAATTCATACGAATATCGTACCAAATTGAAACCTAGTGGAAAATATTTCGACGAAATGAAAAACTTATAATAAAAATAAGAAACATTAGAAAGACTAGTAATATGCAACTGATGCGTCCGTATAGTAAGAAGGGCTTTCAGTTGCAAGTTTTTCCATTGTTCAAATTGCGAAATTATTTTGTCCCTCCTAGATTGTTTGATTTGTTCGTTATCTAAAATTTCTTAAATAAAGTACTGTGGTCATGATCAAGCAAATGTTGGAAGCTTACTTATTAGTTACATATTAACCAATAATTTTCCATCGATATTTTCGAAGTTTTTGATGTTTTCACTATTCGTTCCCACGTATATCAACGATATGAATAATGCTTAGAACAAAAGTGCATGCGACTTTCCGATTACAAATTCAACCATTCTTTATGAATGCAAATGTGCAGTGTTTTTTGGCGTTAGTACATGTTTGAAAACATGTTTGCCACCAGAGTAACGGTTATTTAAACGAGTTCAGATCATCGCATTCCCATGCCATTCCCATTCGGGACTTCTCGATGCTTCCTAAATAAAATTCCTCTCCCATGCTAAAATCAAAACAAAGTACCGGATATGCAAATGCGCCCCACTTCTCCATTCTTCCTCTTCGGCTAGTGACACAATTTGCGAACGAAACGTTTCTGGTTTTCAGCTAAGAAGTTCATATAATATTACTGATGAGGGGAAGCTTTCGAATTGAATCGGAAATTTAAGACATTTTGAGTGAGGATATCTGGTAGTATTCCAAGTGTCATTAAACGTTCACTTTCAGTGTTGTTGTAGTGGGAATGGCTCACATAACGAAGTGCGGGTCTTTTCCCGAGAGAAGCGATATAACTCTGGTAAGTACTACAACGTAAGTTATGACAGGGCGATTGCTGAATAGAAGTTAGTTTAGAAGTTATTCTCATGCTTTAGAAGTCATTCTGTTGAAAAAAACAGTTCGATTTCCAGTAACATCTGGAAGAGTTTGTCGTGTTCCGATACGAATATTTTCAGTTAAAGTTGCAAAGTGAAACCAGAGTGAAATGTTCGGGTAAATATTCATGATTGAAATACATGAATAAAAGACACCTTGGAAACTAAATGCTAAAGAGGTATAAGGAAAGGATAACTGTAAAGATATCTTGAATTGTTAAATGGGAAGTTTCAACTGCCTTCTTTATCTGTACTGTAACATTTTTGCTGAGAAAAAAAGCAGAAAAAAAAAAACAAGTTTTGGGAGAAAGCGCAAGCTATCATTTCTCATCTTCTTTATCATTATTCTCTTTGCTGCGTTTGTGGATATGAATCCTATTGATTTTTTTTCTATGTTATTCTCAAGTACCATCTGCTGACATTATTTTGCTATGATTTTGCTTATACAAGTTTAAAAGTACTGCCTTTTAAAGCAATTATAGATATTTGATGTTCACGAAGTTTGATGCTATTGTTTAATGATATAATTGTAGATATTTTAGTGTTATTCGTGAACAGTACGGAATTGTTTGGTTTTAAGTCGAAATACGAATGAGTACGATGGATATTCCAGTTCAAGTCGAAATACGGATGAATACGATGGATAGTCCAATTCTGGATATTCTGAAGGCAACTTTCGAACTGTGTGTGAGAAGGAAATGCTGGTATCATATTTATGATCAGTAATCAAATACACCATGTTACTGGCTGAAGGAATTTTTAATTCCATTCAAGTAGACAGAGGTTCATTGTAATATCTAATTACCTATTGCCGAGTAGTACAAATCATGTGCTGTACATGAAAATTATTAGTAAATGAAAATTTATTAGTACATAAAAAAATTTATTAGTGTGTAAAAATTAGTACATTTTTTGACAAACGACCCTTGGTCAGTTTTGCTTTATGTTTTATAGTTTCAGTGATGTCTTCGTTTCAGCTGGTGAATTTTGTTTTTACAAACCATCACACATCCATTTAAAAAAAAGGAGTTGAAGGAGATCACTTTGGATGGGTCAAACAATCAGAGTACAGGACTATTTGGTTCAGGAAAGTAGTGATAAATTGAACTGTAACAGTAATAAATTGTGAACTTGCAAATTGTTACTTTTAATATGGTACTTTTAATGAATGAGTACTTTTAATATTCATTTTCCATTGAATCTGTTGCTTGTTTTTGGAAATGTGATGCACATATGAAATATATGATAAGCTTAGAGATGGATGATAAAAATTTATATTGGTAGCCTTTGGAATATTGGTGAGGTAATAAAATTATTAGGAAAGAGGCATGCAACTCTGTCTGTGTTACTTTAATGTTATTTGAACTGAAAGGATGTTTGGATGTTAGGATGTCTTTGTCCCTTTTGTCTGACTTTATCATTTGTCTTAACACTGATGAAACAAGAAATGTTCGTGGTGACCTTTTCACAAATTATATTGATAGATGATTATTTCCCGGTAATTTCAGGATTGTCGATTCAACATGTGTAAGAATACGTGGTAAAATTGGCTTTGCACTTATTTGCATTTCCTTATTTCTGGTGTTCAATTGACTGTAATTTTTAACTTCGTAACCAAGGCCATAAGTATGCTAAACGGTATGTGGAGATGGCGGAGTTCAGTGGATCAGTTTATGTGCAGTGTATGCGTTCTGCACCTATATATCGGATTGGTTTCATGTGATAGAGCATACGACAATGAAAAGATTGATACAGTTGTCCTCAGGTAATGTAGAATGGAATATTGGACCAACCAATGGACGTTGATCTCTTGAACTGTCGAAATGCAGCAAGAAGGAACAATTGGCTATTTAATAGGATTTTTCCATACTTTTAACCTCCATATAGGAATGTGCACTGAGATTATCGGAATAGGATGATTAATTGGCACAGCTAGTAATGCGACAAAACTCTTAGTACCACTAGTGAACAACTTCGTGGCGCTAGCCGTTCTAATCTTTCCGTTTTATCCAGTTAACGGCTAGATCTTTTGGTCTTCTTAGCTTGACACCTTTACATATGCTTGTGATCGTCGTATCATCTAATTAGTAGCCAGTATTGAAGTATGATGTGCATGTTCCGTTACTGCAGAATTCAAACAACAGTAAATATTTGACCAGTTCTGAAGAACAAAGATTTCTTACCTGAAATCGTTTTTCGCCTAAAATTATTCTCCAGAAGATTTCCTTTTCAATTTGTTATTGTGATACGCTCTTATAGGCTACAAGCAAAAGAAATGTTCATGCATGGGTATAATTCGTACATGAAATATGCATACCCGCATGACGAGCTGATGCCACTGTCATGTAAGGGACGGCAACGAGGTGTTACGCCACCACGAGGGGATGTTGATGATGCGTTAGGGAAGTAAGTTTTCTTCAACTTTATTGCTCATTTAATTTTAATTGTTGATGTTAGTTGACATCCGCAAGAAACATTTAGAAGGCTTGTTTAAGATTTTTGTCTTTCAAATGTCTTAGCCATTTCTTTTTGAATTTCTCGTAAATTTCTTCTACCTGATTTTTTCTTATAGAATAAATGTCGTATTGATATTAGCTTTTCGATCTTATTTATTGCAGTAATGTGAGATAAAAAAATAAATGTTGAAAACAAAATGAAAAATACTATAACATATTTCTTCCCAATAATAAGAAATATGATGTTTTTATATGTAATTACTTACAAAACCTAATATCGAATTAGGAATTGAAGTGAAAGAGGGTGGTATTTCGCCACCATAATTGGTAAATTTCGTATTTTATTTGAAATCGTCGACAAGTTTGCATTCAATCAGCATGAAATCATTGATAACATTTTATTCAAAAATTGAGGATTAAGAGATCTTTCCTTCTACTGCAAAAAAAAAAAAAATATTTTGCACTGATTGACCTGTGCACAATTCAGAATTTTTCTCTATTTGCCCACTGCATTTCTCTTGGATTTTTACGATATCTGGAGGGTACGGGAGTTTCCACAGCTTCATTAATACCTCTCTTGATGCTTCTTTAGAGGTCTCCATCCTGGCCCAAGTAGTATAGTGGTTAGTACTCCACGTTGTGGCCGTGGCGACACAGGTTCGATTCCTGTCTTGGGCAGCGCGTTCTTTATGAGAGCTTCCTAGCGCCACTGTTGGCGGATGGGATGCTGTCTCCCCGTCTTTTGGTAGATAACTTTCATCTTTGGTCTCAGTCCTTTGAAAGGAAGAATTTAAATTTCAGTTGGTTTTATTGCTTCATTTTGGGAAGAAAACATAGTTAATTCGATAATGACTTGCAGTTTTTCGTTAACTCTTGTCGATTCATTGGATGCATTGGTCGTATTGGGTGAGTTGGGTGAGTTTGAAGAGTCTGTGAGACGAATTGTAAAGAATGTTCGCTTCGATTCAAATTTGGTTGTGTCAGTTTTTGAAACGAATATTAGAATGGTGGGAGGATTAATATCAGGTACGCTCTAGAGTTTTTCCATTCTGGCATGAGCGTAGGACGAAGACTGCTGATTATTTGTGTGAAGTATGTGCTACTGGTAACTAATGCATGAGTGACATCATACATTGATCTCATGATAGAGCCCCAAATGAGAGTTACGAAACATTTCTTTTAATCTTGCTCTTGGTTGAAACTATTTCTGATATAGCTGATTTGATTTCTTTGAGCTTCCACAAGTATTCAGTCGTAGTCTTTTGTTACTGTAGAAATCCTCGAATATATTCAAACTTTTGTAGGTCACGTAATGGCTAAACTGGTACAGTCGAGAGATGAGAATCGTTTAGGATGGTATAAAGACGAATTGTTGCAGATGGCTGCTGAATTAGCTGATAGGCTTCTTCCTGCTTTCAATACCACTAGTGGAGTTCCTTATTCTAGAGTAAGTTGAACTTGTTGCAGTACTATATTCCAATCATTATTGAAATACTTAATTTCGTTGGTACTGTTGAGCCGAATTCACCAACTATGATAAATATTATGATTTTAGCGAAAAAAAACAACGATTTAGAGGATATTAGAAAATTTAAGAACATTTGTTTTCCTGCAACATTTTTATATCCAATTTTCAGATAAATCTTAAGTATGGAATGTTAGATTTTCTTCGGCAACAACATGACACTTGTACAGCTTGTGGGGGAACGATGATTCTCGAATTCGCTGCGCTCAGTCGACTTACAGGTAAACCAGTCTACGAGGAAAAAGCTCGAAAAGCAATGGATTTTCTTTGGGCCCAGAGACACCGTGGAAGTGATTTAATGGGCACTGTCTTAAACGTACATTCTGGCGATTGGATAAGAAGAGGTATTATGAACAAATTTTAATTTATATCTGATTGATTCATTTCCCAACTTTACATGTACACTGTTTACTATTACTCTTCTTCTTTTTTTAGTGCTAGCTTGAACCTTGTTTCTTATAAACTGTGATCCGGTGTACCGACCACTTCAGACTTCTGTCATTGTCGACACTATTATACATTAGAGGATGATGATGGTGCTGCTTAACATACTTGAAATGTATATTTTGAAAATTAAATTTTACTACAGATGCGGGTATTGGAGCGGGGATCGATTCCTATTACGAGTATTGTTTGAAGGCATATATTTTATTGGGCGACGAGGGGTATTTATATCGCTTCAATAAGGTCTAGTTTTTTCACTGTATTGTTATGATGTTCGTGTTAATTAAATGCGTAGGTAACATTGTAGTGTAATATACAGACAACGGAAATATTTAAGGTGGTGAAATTGACTTCGTTAGGCAGCTCCTCGATGCCTTCCGATACCAGTTTCTCTAATTCCATAATAAGGTAGTTCTTGAGTCTTTTGCAGCATTATGACGCCATAATGAGATATGTTAACAAGGGCCCACTGTTTATCGATGTTCATATGCACAAGCCAACAGTTGCCGCTAGAACTTATATGGATTCCTTGCTGGCGTTTTGGCCTGGTATACAAGTTTTAAAGGGTGATCTAAAAGCAGCTATCGAATTTCATGAAACGCTTTATCAAGTGATCAAGGTATCTTTATCATTGGTTAGCGATCGATGGAAAATATTTTTCTTGTTTCCCTACCGGTATTAGCTATTTTTTATAAGAAGAAAAAAAAATACGATTGCGTGATGAGTTATTCTCCTCTTTATCCACTACTTATACCCAATAACGGTTGAAATTATTCACTTTGAATGAACTATTTCGAAATTCTACCATGTTTTTTGATTTTTCCAACATAATTTTTGATCTGTAGTGGAAGCATATTTTGCTTTAGAGACACAAATTCTTACCGGAAGCATTTACGCATGATTTACAAGTTCATTGGGCCCAACATCCTATTCGACCGGAATTTATTGAAAGCACTTATCTGCTATACAGGGCAACAAAGGATGAGCATTATTTACATGTGGCCAAAAATGTAAGTATTTGATGAATAATGATTTCTTCAATTTTCGATTCGAACAAACAACTTTTGGGAAGATTGTTTTGCTTTTTCCATTTTTATTCTGAAGAATATTGTCATTGATTATCAGATTCTGGATAGTATGAATAAATTTTTGCGAGTTGAATGCGGATTTGCTGCCTTCAAAGATATCCGTTCGATGAATCACGAAGACAGGTAGGAATCCATGTGTTTATTTCTTTACATATATTTATTTCTTCACTTCGTTTAAACTTGTGAAGTTTTAGCAGATTTACTTTAAAAGTTGTGAGGTTTTTTTTGTCTCTTCCCTTCTTTCTGTCTCTAAAAATATTATTCAGCCATTTTCAGAATGGATTCTTTCGTGCTTTCGGAAACGTTGAAATATCTGTATATGATTTTCACGAATCCTTCTGACTTACCCATTGACTTAGACAACTATGTTCTTACTACTGAAGCTCATTTTATTCCACTTTCAATCGGTGACACTGATAACAGCGAAAAAGTTAGTTGTTTTTGCTTAGCAACACTAGTATTTTTTAATATCCTGAGTACGATGACAGCATTTTTGTAACTTTTGACGAGTCCTTTGGTTGCTTTGCGTGCTACTACTGTAGTGATATGGACGACGCAGCGGTGAAAATATCTGCCGTGTTTTACAGATTAATGAGCTCAAAAGAAGCATTGTTAAATCCTTAAATCTACCCAAAATTAACTGTTGTTGTACAAATCGATTTTTACAGCTTACACGTCGTTTGTTCATTGATCCGGATGAAATAATTGATGATGAAAATGCAATAATGGCTAAAAAATTCCGATCAGCATGTCCTGCGGGGATAATTAATGAGAATTACGATAATTTGCCGGCTTATGCAGAGGAATTGCGTCACACTGTACAAAATGTCGTTAGCGAACTAACGAAAAATTCAGAAAGTGCCAATAGTTGTCCAAAAATGTAAGACTTTGTTTTATAATAGAATATCTAAAATATTACTGAAATTTCCTCCTAGGATTTCACAAAAATCAATATTTATGAATAAAATGTTTTCAT